TGCCAGTGTGGGAAATTTCCCTGATCTGTCTTGACACTCAGTGACCCTTTCTGTGGCTGTGCTAAGTGTATGGATGAGACCCTGCTCAACCTCTACATTTCTGGTGCTGTGATTGTGATTTCTCACATTGCTGTGTTTTCTTTATTGTAGCTTCCCTTCTGCTGAAATTACCTACTGAACAGTGCATTATCTTTCCCATTGGACTCTTTAACATATTATTCCTAAGTTTTTAATTTCCTGTCTGCAGGTCTAGCACTGTGTCTGAGCCTGCTTGTGATGATTACTCTGGGTGGTTTTATCTGGTCTTGTATGTCTCAAGACCTTTCCTGGAAACAGGAAGTGTTATCTGCAGAGAAAGGAACTACTGAGTGGTATCTATGCTTGAGATGAACTAGCACTTTGCTCTTTGCCGTCAGTGTGGGATCTGCACTGACCTGGGTAAGCTGAGTTGGGTATGTGTGTGGGGGTCATTGTTATTATGGCTGCCTCATTCCACTGAGACTTCAGTTCCTCCAGGAACTTGGTTTGCCTCTTGCACAGGCTTGGGTCTTGTAGAGGGAGAGCAATGGTAGTCATTGTGAGTTGCATAAATATGTGTCTTCTTGCTGTGGTGGTTGGTGTTGGGGGAGAATGGAGATTCCCATATGACCCTGCTCTCAGACACAGGCTCTGAGTCTGGAGTCTGGTCAGCCTGTGTCCCTACTGTTAAAAAGAAGTAAAATAAGGTTGCAGAAGTTGGTCTGTAGAGGAAAGCTGACATATATTTCCCCTTGGGAATGAGCTTTATTATGGTGAAAGGGCTTCAAGGCCGTGATTGGGACTTGAGGTTAAAGGGAGAGCATTAGACAGGAACAAAGCAATATATGGAGATAGTGAAACATGATGGGGCCTTAATGGGAAGGAGAGGCTTCTTTTTAAATCCTGGAAAGAAGCTTCATTAAGGGTGAGGATGAGAGACAGACAGATAGATAGATGATAGACGAGAACCATTAGTAGAAGGATGGGTCGGGGAGGCCAAAGGAGCCTTCTCAGAGAACAGTCTTCATCTCCCTGAGCAGTCTCTCTCAGGAGTCTTGGTCTCTGAAGAGACCAATCCCCAAACAAAGGAAAGGTCTGATTTTTTATAACCTTTTAGGTATGATTGGAAGTTTCATAGCATGTTATTTCAGCATAGTGTGTATGACAGGGAGCATGGAGAAACCATGTACCATAACCTGAGAGTCGTCAAGTCACAGCACAGACTTCTTAACTCTCCGTCCCAGAGAGCTACAGGGAGGTGTGGCCTGATTCAGGCTGTGGGATCAAGCCTGAAGGTACAGGTCTGGGTTCTAATACCTGTGCTTTAGGCCCTACCTGCAGGAGACCTTGGCATTTCCTGAAAATGCAAACCAGAAGCAGCCAGATTTCATTGTCTTCTCCACTCAACCAGGGCCAGGCCTGATGTGGCACATGCATGTTTTGGTACACTTCAGAAAAGGGGTGACCTGGGCTACTTGCTTCTCTCCCTGGACTGATGAAAGGCAGTCATGGCTCTTACTCTCCCCATAGGGAGCTTATCAACATTCTTCCTAGCCTTTCCTGCAGGTTACTGATGAGTTTTCTGGAAGAAAACCTTAAGGAGGTCCAGTGAGATGGCTCAGTGGGTAAAGGCACCTGCCACCAAGCCTGACAACCTGAGCTCAGACCCCAGGACCCACATGATTGAAAGAGAGAAGTGATTCCCACAGGGCACCCTCTGACTTTCATATACATGCCACGGCACTCAACATCCCCCACCCCATGCAAATAAATAAATAAAAAGAAGAAAACCTTAAACAAACCTTGTATGGAGCCCGTGTTCACAGCGTCCTGCCCTTAGTCTCTGGCTTGCCTACATTCTGCTGCACCATTTGTTATGTTTTTACCGCCAAGGCTTGAGGACACACATCTTGGTCCTTTCTCTCTGCGCTCAAACCCCAGGACCCACATGATTGAAAGAGAGAAGTGATTCCCACAGGGCACCCTCTGACTTTCATATACATGCCACGGCACTCAACATCCCCCACCCCATGCAAATAAATAAATAAAAAGAAGAAAACCTTAAACAAACCTTGTATGGAGCCCGTGTTCACAGCGTCCTGCCCTTAGTCTCTGGCTTGCCTACATTCTGCTGCACCATTTGTTATGTTTTTACCGCCAAGGCTTGAGGACACACATCTTGGTCCTTTCTCTCTGCAGGCACTTGCTTGTCTGTGGAACTGGACTTGTTTGTCGGGCAGTCTCAGCTCTGTCACAGGCACAGCCTGCTAATTTGCTGTCTCCTCAGCTCTTTCATACTCTCTGCATGTGAGCTACACATTTTCCTCCTCTCCACATCTCTCACTTAAACCATAGTTCAGGATGGGACTTTTGATGAGGTGAAAAGACAAAAGCAAAGGTAAGAATCCCATCCAGTTTAAACAAGCAGATCAAGCACCAGTGTCTCAGTTTGTTAATTGTGAATGGGGCTCCCACGTTTGTCTGGAGTGTTCCCTCCTTTGGTCTAAGAACCTTGTTCTTGTTGCTCTTCTAATGGGAGATGCTTAGTTGGTGAGATGGTATGGCACTCTCATTGCACAACCTCTCCCCAGGGGTCAAGCAGATCATGGATGTGAGACACACCAGGCAGGTACCTGGGTGAGTGGGTAGGAGTATGAGGCCAGGCTGCTTCAGGTTTGTGTTTCTGCCAGGGTTTATTTTACTCAGCTGTTGCCTAAACTTCATGCAATGAAGCCGGACCTGAGGCTGCAGTATCTCCTGAGGCCCTGCAAGTGACAAGTTTTCAATCACTGTATTAAATCTTCATTATAGCTTGACTTTATTCATTAAAGTAATGGTCACATTAGGTCTCTGAGATCTGATCATTACTCTTTGATTTGAAAGTTGGGAAAATGACACCTAATAGCAGGACCTTACAACTGAACAGGACACCTGTGCCAGGATCTGGCTGAGTGTGGCTCTTGTGGGCACCTGTGTCTGTACACACTGCAGAGTGACCTTGGCTTTAGAGCAGGGTTGCTTCAACCTAGGTAATGACTTCATGACCAGATGGACCATCCTCCTGGTAACAGAATGGCCTCAGCAGTGGTCTTCAGCACCAGCCTTTCCCTCCTCTGGTCATGCACCTAATGTGCAGGCCCACTGGGGTGGGATTCACCTGCAGGATTCTTCTGGTCCTCCTTGGACTGGAGTGCCATTAGCACCCTCAAACACAGGCCTAGAGGGTAGGATAGGCTCCTCACAGAGAATTGGGGTACATTACAAACATTTAGGGCTACCAGAAATAAGTAGATGTCACACCTGGGATGAGGACTTTACTTCCTGAGCATGAGGAGCAGTTCTACCGGATGCCAGTGGATGGAGCTTGCAGTGATCCGTGCCCTGGGGTCAGAGCACAGCATGTGTCCTCTTGGATCACTGGCACCACTGTGCTGGCATTTTCTTGTAGATGGTCATTTTCATTTTATAGAACTTAAAAATATTTGAGATGCCAGCAACTTTTGAAAACTTCCCAGGCACTACATAATTAGTTACCTTAGTTTCTCTATATCTTTTCCAGTGTGAGAGCAGAAACCATAAACATACCAGCAACAAATTGATGAGATAATTATTCTGTAATGAATTCAAACACTGTAAATTAACCTGACAAGTGGCTGTAGCTCTCTTGGACTTTTTTAGTCCCTGGAACCTTCCAGGCTGTGCCTGGGTGAGGAGGTAAACTCATGGGATCAGGAGCCATTTCCTTTCCTTTTCCATCATAAAGAGGGAGGGCTACCCTGATCCTGGATATGTGTCCTGAACCACCATAGCTGCACCAGGCAGTCTCTGTCTTTCCTCAATCCATCCTCAGCTCTGAGGTCCCTCAGAGGTCAGGGCCATCATTCTGTCCCCAGATGTCATCCACAGGCCAGGCTTTCTCTCATGTTCCAGCCCATCTGTGTAGGACAATGGCCTTCACTATGCCCAGATCACCATGTACCTACTATCCCTATTCCATTCACTATCCCACCAAGAACCCATTCCCTTCCTCTATTCCCTGCCTCTCTCTACAGAAGTGCTACTGAGGGTTGCCCCTGTCTGGGCTCTATGGGTCTGTGTCTACAAATGCACCCTGGGAGAGGTGGAGAATCATTGGTGGGTGGCACTGCCCACAGTGCTCCAAAGTTTGCATAGGACAACTTTAGAGACTGGCCAAGAAGGTGGTTTTCTGGTGGGAGCCCAGTGTGTTCCTGTGGACCTTACTGCCTTTTCCCCAAGTGATCTTAGTGACTTCACCCCTACAGTGTCTGTGGGCCTCAGCCACCTTTCGCTTACCTTCCAGGTCTGGTGAGGGAGCAGTGTGTGGAGGGAGCAGCTGCAGCAGCCTTGGCTCCTTCTAGGTCCCATAGTAAGTGCAAGCTGTTGGCTTTCTGTGCCAAACAGCTCTCTTCAGCAAGTAATGATAAGCTACTCCCTTAGGGCCTTAAACAGGGCAGGCAGGCTTTCCCTCTGTAGACATCTGTTACCGACGGCCCTTCCAAACTCCCGACAGAAACAGGAAGAATTCGGGTCTTACAAGCTGAGATCTGGGATTGGGAGCAAGGGAAGGGCACACCTGTGCCAGGTGATCATGAGGTCTAAACTCGCCAGGTCTCAGACCCCCATGTCAGGCCAGCCTTGGGGTTCACAAGGTGCTGGAAGCATCAGGGAGGGAAATGCCACCTGCCCTGGACTTCCCTTTCTGGTGTTTAACAAGGATGCTGGTGGCCCTGGCTGTGCTGAGTCCTCTGAGAACTCCACCGGACCTTCCCCCACTACCTTGTCATTGTTTTATTGTCACCACAGAGTAGACTATTTGGGAACCACCTCTTGGTGGCTGTTCTTGCAAACATGGGTTTCCTGGGATGTGAAGGTGGAAGCTAAGGAAAGTGTAAAACTTATGTTCCCCAGGAAGGAGATTTATTTTTAACATATCAGCATTCTCTATGTAGGGCTGTGGTTTCCCCAAGATCTGATGCTTTGGAACAGCCCTCTGTTTACAGGGACTAGTGGCCAGGGACATGGGAATCCATTATAAGTGCATCTTGCCTCCTGTGGGAGACACCACATCTTGCCTGCAGCATTCAGTCTGCCCGTCCACTTGTTCTTCGTTCAATCGGTGGCTGAATATTCCCATGGCTTCTGAGCTCTTGTGCTGCACCGTGCCGTGGAGCTTTAGAGACAAAAAGACAAAGGCGAGCCCTCAAGGACTTCACAGTCTAGAGAGGAGACCAGACTCTGTCCTGTGCCCAGTACAGGACACCAAGTAAACCAGTGCATGCACCAAGTGATGGTGGGTATGAAGGACAGAGCCTGGGAGAGTCCCTGTAGAAGAGGAAGACCTTACCAGGGAAGACAGGGTGACAGGAGATCAAGCTCAGCAGGTGACTGCGAGGTCAGTGACTTCAAAGGCCCTGAAACGTGCAGCTGCAGTGACTCAGGACTCAGGAGGGGCTTCCCCTGCCACAGGTTTACAACTTGGTGCCCTTTGTTATCTTGACTGAAGAGAGGCTCCTATGAAATGTGAGGTGAGGCCTGGCAACAGGAAGACACTAGTGGAATTGATAAGGATCCACGTAGGAGTCTTATTGAAAGCCAGTTCAGGGACAGGCCAACCTTTGATGCTTCCCTGAGCAGGTATGGGGCCTGGGAGACTTCTATCATGCTGTGGGAAGGGTGCAAGTCCAGGCTTGTTGGTTGTGAGAGAGGCAGAGTTTGTTCACCTGAAACCCTCGCCCCATCCCAGGGCCAGCTTTTTTTTTTTTTAAAAAAAGTTTAAGAGTGTGTGTGTGTGTGTGTGTGTGTGTGTGTGTGTGTGTGTGTTTGTCCTGGCTTTTGTGCAAATATTTCATCCATTAGAGAAGG